ATTTCACTAATGTTCCCAGCTTTGACTTTAAATGAGTGAATGATGGACACAACATCTGTCTGGTAATAGGAGGAGAGTGTTTGGATAGCTGCTGGTAAGATATGTAGTAACATATGTGTGGGTCTATGGGATTTTTCAAGCAAGGTTAGCGCCAACTGATGAAATGAAGCTATTAAATTCAGTTGCCGTTTCTAAATCTGTTGCAGGTGTGTAACCATCCTTGGAGAGTTTTATCTGCTTGTTATGCGATTGCTGTTTAGACCCTAGCATGTTAGAGACGGCTCTTCATGTGCTATTCATGTTTCCTTTTGCTTTTTTGAATCTACTCATAATAGGAAAGTTTCGCTCCTCTTATTATACTGGTAAGCATTGATGAGTATCTCTTAACTACTTTTGTAACTAGGTCAATCCTAAGTTTTTGCTCATATTCATGTTTCTTGCTTTAAGTAAGCCACTTGTGAGCCAGGGGTTGTTCGATCTCTTGTCAGTTACCTGCTTGGCGAGGAGAGGGCAGTAAGTGTTGTAGAGGCTTAGGGTTTTGGATAGGAAGATGTTGGCTAATGAACTTATATCCTGTGTATTATTGAATTCAGATTCCCAGTTTATGTTAAGTTCATTTGTGAGAATGTGACAGTGCCTATTGCTGTTTCACTGAAGCAGCAATGAAGGTAAGGTTTCTGAAGGTAGCTTCAGGGTTTCTGAAGGTTAATGAAGGTAACTTAGCCTGAAGGCAAGTGTCTTGGCGTCTAGTGGTGTTATGTCCCAGCTCAGCTCTACTCCTACCTCGTAAAATTCGACATACTTAGCCCTTGTCAATTTGGCTTCCGCTAAAAAAAAAAAAAAGTACCAACGATGCAATCATTAGGCTCCTTGATATAATTTATTCAGCCCTTGACAAAAATGAGTTTCCGATTGGACTCTTCATTGACCCGAGAAATGCCTTTGATACTGTTAATCACAACTACCTCTTACGTAAACTCTATGTTACAGCCATTATGGGTTGCAACCGGGTTCTTTGCTGGAGGAACCAAAGTACTAGTATCCTACCCCAAGTCGGTAGTGACTTTCAAGGAGTAGGCTTGGTAATGCAAGTAAAATACAAGGCGGGAGTTGAAAGGAATACGACACTTCACCCTTTATCAATATATTCACATATCACTTTCCCATCGCCTTAAATAGAATTATAAACCAAGTATTACTACACTGATATATTCACATGTGTCGCTCTCATAGGACATTAAGCGCTCCTCGATGCTAATACAATGCAGCTTGTCAGCTACCGTGTTTCCTCAACACACAGTACCGTCCTCGACCAGTACTGGGAAACACCAACGAGTCTACCCTAGTCATGGGCCAGCCTATCTACAGTCTCACTAGGTGCTCTTCGTGCACGCCCACAATCACTCTCCAGCCTGGTGCTGGCAGAGAACATCAGCCTCACGCTGCTGGGCTTCTATACGAACAAATACAAGGGTAGCGAACCCCTGGCAGGAGCTTCTTGCAACTAGCTAGTTACACTCCCCCGTAGCACCTGACTGTCGGTCGTCTCTTCCTCTAGCCAGTCCCGGGATACGCCGAATTCTGTCACTGCCACTTCACAGGCAGACAGCAAATACTACTCAGTTCCTCTTTGGCGGCGGCTCACTGCTCACGTAAAGCAGAATGGAGTAGAAGGATAATAGGCTGCCCTGAGTAGACTGACTGTCTCCGTACCCCTGCAGCCCTACGTCGCCTCTGTGGATACGGACACGTCATCAGTAAACTGGCCGGTACTTGTGAAACTAGGACATGCCACTTACTGACTCTGACATTAACATACAACTCATATCACGATAGATGGCGCTGATTTCTAGGCGCCACCTCACCAGAGGTCAGCTACAGCGACTCTTCGGGATGACCAAGGCAGGAATCTAAAGTCTCTTGCAGGTATCATACTGCCGCCACCAGATGGCGTCGTCCATTTTATAAGGGTTTAGGGAGCAGACTCACAGATGGCTTTAACGTCGGTGTTGGGTTCGTAACACTCCATCGTTATGGAATCCGAGGCCATGCACTGGACTATATCTAATCCTATCTTAGTGATAGACACCAATGTGTAGCCATGAATAATATAACCTCTCCCACTCTACCAATAACCGTTGGAGTGCCACAGAGCAGCATCTTGGAACCTCTTTTTTTTTTTTTTTTTTTTTTGAGATATATACAAGAGTTGTTACATTCTTGTACAGCCACTAGTACAGCCACAGCCCCTTGGCCTTTGTCCTACCACGAAGGCTAAAGGGATAGATGGTGGAAAACGACTTTGGCTAGGTTAAGTATTTTTCCATACACGCTTAATTCATGGATACTTAGTGGAACGCTGCCCTACTCCTTATTGACCAAACTGAATTATTCCACTAGCAATCGTGCACTTCTTTATGAAATGTCCTGATTTCAGGACTTCTGTCCTGTCTATTAAGTCAAGCACACCTGTATGTCAAGCATAATATCTCTCATGCTTTCCAAATGTCCCTCGAGGACACTTATCCTGCGTCAAAACCCTTAGTGAGTCTGATACGTTTGATGTTGCTCGCCTCATGAGTTCTTGTTGTTGTTGTTGTGTTGATTTAGGGGCGACGACGATCGTGGGATCGGATGCGCCCCGGCTGCCCGATACCGGGAAATAGCGGAGGGATGGGGTCCCTATAGTCTCTTCAGGCCATAGACCCTACAATCTCCTCAGGCTATTGTTATTGTTGAGCCTTATGAGTTCTTGTTCTTGTTTTGGCATCCTTCGTGATATTTAGCACCTTTTGAATATCTAGCGACACTGTTGGTGCTACAGTCTCCCCGGCTTGATGCATTCTTTTGATAATTACTTAATTATCCATCTGCCCAGAAAAATAGTACCTCCATATATTTAGGGATTAGTGATAATCTGTAGAATATATATAGACTCTTTTGTTAATGAAAAGTGGATTCTCTTTTAATTGACAACAAATACAGTACAGTTAAGTGTAAATATTCAGAGATTTGTCAAAGTTGATTGAACGTCTGGTATTTGAAGGCAAGCTTCGCCAGCATCGTCAGACACAGGAACAAGATGTAGGTGGTGGTACACGTGTCAGGTCATCTCTCGTGAAGGAACGTTTCTCACACCCACATATTCCAGCAAAGCAATTAATTGTATTCTAAATGAAACCAGATTAACTCTGAGTCCTTGTAAACCATATTCAGCAAAAGTTATATAAAGAATCGAGTTTTCGTATCATATAAATTGCGTGCAGCTTAATACAATAATTTCTGTGGATATTTATTTTATTATGTAATTGCATGTGGGTAGCCTCATTTATGACATGAGAATGTGTGATGTAATGTGGAGATGTCTTCAGTAGAGTGACATGAGATGATACAGATTTCTGGATGCCAGGATGTGTTATAGGCATTAAGGTCCAAGGGTTTAACCATTTTAATATCATTGCACTATAATTATAGTCACTAAAGTGTGGGAGCCCGCTGACATACAACAATTTTTGCTAATAAAAAATAACACGCTAAGTTCCTGTGCTCCTTTGGAGATTTCCTCGAGACAAATAAGAGTAGACTCATGTGGTGAGACCCCGGGGAGTGTACTCCCGGGGAGTGTACCCCCGGGGAGTGTACCCCCGGGGAGTGTACTCCAGGGGAGTGTACCCCCGGGGAGTGTACTCCCGGGGATTGTACTCCAGGGGAGTGTACCCCCGGGGAGTGTACTCCAGGGGAGTGTACCCCCGGGGAGTGTACTCCCGGGGAGTGTACCCCCGGGGAGTGTACTCCCGGGGAGTGTACTCCAGGGGAGTGTACTCCCGGGGAGTGTACCCCCGGGGAGTGTACTCCCGGGGAGTGTACCCCCGGGGAGTGTACTCCAGGGGAGTGTACCCCCGGGGAGTGTACTCCAGGGGAGTGTACCCCCGGGGAGTGTACTCCCGGGGAGTGTACCCCCGGGGAGTGTACCCCCGGGGAGTGTACCCCCGGGGAGTGTACTCCCGGGGAGTGTACCCCCGGGGAGTGTACCCCCGGGGAGTGTACCCCCGTGGAGTGTACTCCCGGGGAGTGTACCCCCGGGGAGTGTACCCCCGGGGAGTGTACCCCCGGGGAGTGTACCCCCGGGGAGTGTACTCCCGGGGAGTGTACCCCCGGGGAGTGTACCCCCGGGGAGTGTACCTAGAACCATGTGGTCATGCATGACCACACCTGGTGTGTCCTGTACGACCACACCTGGTGTGTCCTGCATGACCACACCTGGTGTGTCCTGCATGACCACACCTGGTGTGTCCTGCATGACCACACCTGGTGTGTCCTGCATGACCACACCTGGTGTGTCCTGCATGACCACACCTGGTGTGTCCTGCATGACCACACCTGGTGTGTCCTGCATGACCACACCTGGTGTGTCCTGCATGACCACACCTGGTGTGTCCTGCATGACCACACCTGGTGTGTCCTGCATGACACACCTGGTGTGTCCTGTACGACCACACCTGGTGTGTCCTGCATGACCACACCTGGTGTGTCCTGCATGACACACCTGGTGTGTCCTGCATGACCACACCTGGTGTGTCCTGCATGACACACCTGGTGTGTCCTGTACGACCACACCTGGTGTGTCCTGCATGACCACACCTGGTGTGTCCTGCATGACCACACCTGGTGTGTCCTGCATGACCACACCTGGTGTGTCCTGCATGACCACACCTGGTGTGTCCTGCATGACCACACCTGGTGTGTCCTGCATGACACACCTGGTGTGTCCTGCATGACCACACCTGGTGTGTCCTGCATGACACACCTGGTGTGTCCTGTACGACCACACCTGGTGTATCCTGCATGACACACCTGGTGTGTCCTGCATGACCACACCTGGTGTGTCCTGCACGACCACACCTGGTGTGTCCTGCATGACACACCTGGTGTGTCCTGCATGACCACACCTGGTGTGTCCTGCACGACCACACCTGGTGTGTCCTGTACGACCACACCTGGTGTGTCCTGCACGACCACACCTGGTGTGTCCTGCATGACCACACCTGGTGTGTCCTGCACGACCACACCTGGTGTGTCCTGCACGACCACACCTGGTGTGTCCTGCACATAAAGACAAAATCTTATTTGTACCACATTACCTCACCTTGTATATACTACATGACTACAGTTTGTGTGTACCATAAAAGCACACCTTGTGTGTACCACGCAGCTTGTGTGTAGCTCTTGGCCAAGCTGTGGCTGGCATGTTGTGTGGTACAAAGGTGTGGCTCCGGGTGGAGGAGGAGGCGAGGCAGGCGTCCACCTCCACAGGTGGAGCGCCAGGTCGCCCTAGTCCACCTACTTGCCGAGGCCGGAGTGGGCGTAGGGCTGGTCATCACTCGAGTAACCAAACCTGTGACGCCCGCCGTGGGTGAGGAGGTGTGGCTGCTGCCTCCTGCTGTCCTCCCAACTCTCCAGCCGAGCTGTCCACACACAACAACAACAATCTTTTAACAAAACACATACTTTATTTCTGAAAATTTAACATCAATAAATTACGCTCATAAATAAGCCAGAAAACATCAATAAATTACGCTCATAAATAAGCCAGAAAACATCAATAAATTACGCTCATAAATAAGCCAGAAAAAATCAATAAATTACGCTCATAAATAAGCCAGAAAACATCAATAAATTACGCTCAATTTAGATGAGCATTTAAAACTTTAAAAATCTTTTAGTTTGTTTTTAAAGTAAAGTTATTTTCATTACCAGGTTGCAGGTGTATGTTGATGGAGCAGTGTGTAGTGTGAGGTGTTGACTGTTGATGGACCAGTGTGTAGTGTGAAGTGTTGCCTGTTGATGGACCAGTGTGTAGTGTGAGGTGTTGACTGTTGATGGACCAGTGTGTAGTGTGAAGTGTTGCCTGTTGATGGACCAGTGTGTAGTGTGAGGTGTTGACTGTTGATGGACCAGTGTGTAGTGTGAAGTGTTGCCTGTTGATGGACCAGTGTGTAGTGTGAGGTGTTGCCTGTTGATGGACCAGTGTGTAGTGTGAGGTGTTGCCTGTTGATGGACCAGTGTGTAGTGTGAGGTGTTGCCTGTTGATGGACCAGTGTGTAGTGTGAGGTGCTGCCTGTTGATGGACCAGTGTGTATGTTACGGACCCGAGTCCATCGTCGGAGCACGGAGCAGTGACGACAACGCCATCTGTGAGTCCGCTCCCGAAACCCCCTCCAAATGGACGACGCCATCTAGTGAGGACGGGATATACCGGCCACAGGTGCTGGATTCCCGTCTTAATCAGCTCGTAACATAGCCGCTGCTGACCTCTGGTGAGGTGGCGCTTAGACAGCAACGCCATCTATGGAGTGGATAGGTGGACGTTTGTGTCTAAGCCTGTAAGTGAGGTTCCCTAGTCCCAGTACTAATGACGTGTCTGATTACAGAGTCGACCTGGGACTGCTGTATTGGACGATGGATCAGTCTACCCAAGGCAGCCAAGGTCTCTTCACGAGTTTGCTCTGAAGAAGCTGTGAGTCACTCCCGGACGAACTCTGCTGAGAGTATTAGCCTGCCTGTGACGTGGCAGTATCAGGAATTGTCGTATCCGGGGCTGGCTGGTGGAAGAGACTAGCCACTGTGGTGCTTAGTGAGGAGAGTGATCAGCAGGATCACACGAGGCTCCTGCCTAGGGCTCGCAACCCTAGTATCGGTAGTGGAGTGGCCTACACAGCGGAGCTGATCGGAACCTGCCAGCTACATGCTGGATTTGTGGTTGAAGGCCTCCACGACGGAGCACCCAGTGGAACTGTGATTTGGCTGGCCTGTGGCCAGGGTAGATTCGCCAAGAGAATCAAGGAGGATTCATCGTGAGCACCGTGGAGCATCCTGTGTCTTCAGAGGAAGACAAGCTTGTACATAACCATGTAGTAATAACCCCTGTGTGCAACTGTTATATATTTATTTATGGTGGTGGTGAAATTATATATATAAATCAGAGCATTTGTATCCCTCCCCCTTTAATTTAACTTGCGTTTCGGAACACATCCCTTGAAAGCCTCTACTAACTTGGGGCCGGATTGCCAATTTCTAATAACATCAGAGAAGAACCCGGTTACGCCCCAGTAGGGCCGTAAGTGTAGTATGAGGTGTTGCCTGTTGATGGACCAGTGTGTAGTGTGAGGTGTTGCCTGTTGATGGACCAGTGTGTAGTGTGAGGTGTTGCCTGTTGATGGACCAGTGTGTAGTGTGAGGTGTTGCCTGTTGATGGACCAGTGTGTAGTGTGAGGTGTTGCCTGTTGATGGACCAGTGTGTAGTGTGAGGTGTTGCCTGTTGATGGACCAGTGTGTAGTGTGAGGTGTTGCCTGTTGATGGACCAGTGTGTAGTGTGAGGTGTTGCCTGTTGATGGAGCAGTGTGTAGTGTGAAGTGTTGCCTGTTGATGGAGCAGTGTGTAGTGTGAGGTGTTGATGGAGGAGGGTGGAGTATGAGGTAAGGTGCAGTATGGTGTAGTGTGTGCTGACCTCCGTGCTTGGCGAGAAGAGTGAGGAAGTGAGCCGGGTCCAGCACCCCGCCCTGGTCCTGGCTCAGTGCACCAACCTCCTCCACACTCTCCAGGTTGGTCCGCAGCTCATTGAAGAACTTCCTCATGTCGGAGAGCACACCTGTCGGTGCCTGCCACTGTTACCACCTGTGTACCCTCCGTGTGCTCTCTTACCTCTCCACTACACACACACATCCACATTATATACTTATAGTATATCTATATATATATATATATATATATATATATATATATATATATATATATATATATATATATATATATATATATATGAAAGGTAAGATTAATGATTCTAATACGAATCTTCTCAACATTTCTTATGTTTTTCTTCACTGTCGAGGGAAGGGCTTTTATCCCTGGCCGAAACGTTATGCGAGTTAATGATTTTGCATGAATGTAAAAATACCAATCTTATGTAATCTCACAAACCCACTGTACCTTCTTGCAATAAATTATTATCATTATTACTAGTGCATCTTGATTTAATTAGAAGAGGATTTCTCCAAATATCATATTTGTTTGAGGTTGGCTAAAAGTAAAAAATACTGCAGAATGTATTGCACTTACTGTAAATTTCCACAACGTTTCGAAACTACAAGTGATGAGACAGGTTGTTGTTTTAGATTTAGCTACTAAGAACGAAATGTCCATATAGCACGGGCTATGGTGAGCCCGTAATTGAGTGCGGTTATTCGCAATATCCTTGTTACTGTGATATTTGGGCCAGTGGGACAAGATGATTGATGAAGATTAAGCCACCCAAAAGGTGGCACGGGTATGGATAGCTCGTAAACAATGGGATAGGTTGATTGATTGATAAAGATTAAGCCACCCAAGAGGAGGCACGGGCATGAATAGGTCGTAAGTGGTACAATGGGACAGGACTCATAGACTCTCTCATCTATACTTATCTCAATTATGGTATTTGTGCTTGGGGTTCTACTACCCAAAATCATTTAAGCCTCTAATTACTCAACACAAAGCTGCTATTAGAACAATATCTAACTCTGGCCCCAGACATCACTCGGTACCCTTACTCAAATCTTTGAATATGTTAGATATTAAGTCACTGCACATCCTCTCGTGTGTACTCTATATATTTAAAACTCTGAACTGTAATGTCAATCCTGACCTTAAAAGCTTCCTAGAAAGTTGTAACAGAACTCATGGGCACCACACCAGAAACCAATACCTATTTGATATTCCAAGAGTGCAATTTAACCAAACTAGAAATGCACTACAAATCAAGGGACCCAGAATGTGGAATGACCTTCCTAATCATGTTAAAGACTGTACCTCTCTCAACCAGTTTAAGATAAAAACTAAGTACTACCTAATAAACTCCCTGTAACCTACCTCACCCCCTAAATGTCAACCCATGTTGTCGGAAAATCCGACACCATTTAATAATATCAATACAATTGCAGATATTGTTGCTGCATTGTATACACAAGTTACCCATAGAAAATGTAACTTGTAGTGGGATTTTCCGTCTATAGAAAACGGGATATCATTGCCACATACTATTATAAATTCACCACCTATTATGGTGGGAATTATTCTTAAATATATTAGTCTTTGGACTTTACCATCAAAAAACATCTCATATTAATTAACTTAATTATCAGTATTAAAATAAAGTAAATGTGACCATTCTATCAGTTACTGACATCTCTACAATGTGAGGGAGGCGTCAGTGAGTGAGGGAGTGGTCAGCCATTGTTCTTAGACCAGAGGCGCACGGGAGCAAATTCGGCTCCTGTTAATTTCTCTTGGACGAAGTGTTATGGAAACCAAAGGTCTTCTATCATCAACACGCTGTCATCAAATACAAGGAAAGTGTTCTGCCGAAACCCGTTTATCTAATAATTTCTGGCCAGTTAAATGTTAGGTAGATAAGGGCGAGCCGGTTAGAATGCGAAATCGCCTCAAAAGGTAATTAAACCATTAAAAGGTAAAATAAACCATTAACAAATACAAAAGGTAATTAAGCCTTGGTCTTTATGGTTCATTGTACAGTGTTTTCTCTGATATAGCTGTCATATATTAGGATTCTGGCTTCATAGCTAGCGCCCTTTTGACAGGTCAAGACGAGGAAGCATGCTTTGTGTATCAGTTACCAGGGTGATGGAAGCCACCTCACACGAGGAAAATTTGGTGTCTACATCCTAGTTATATCTGGTGAACCAAGCCTGCTGTATAATAAGATAAGGAACCCCCTCAATGTATTCTTATATATGTAGTTTAATACTGTAGTTTGATTGGCTGCATATATATAAATTCAATATAACCCCCCCCCTAATGTGTAGTGGATCGATTTGTGAGATTATTGCAGAAATACAGTCCACTTAACATCCTACCAATTGCTATCGAAATATATAAATTAATGTAAATATAAATTCTATATAAATTCATATAAATTAAATAAATATAAATCTCACAGGTCGGTGCCCACATATATGTCTTGATATTATAACGATGCTGTTTGTCGACCAACTTGTATAACTGCTGATTTCTGCCATTTACCCCCCCCCCCCCCCACCCTTTTTTAACTCCTTTTTTAACACAATTTATACTTTAATCTCAATTACTATTAAGTTTTAGTCTAAGTTTTTTTTCCCTTCACCTTGCCTGAAACGCTGTGCGTATTAGTGGCTTTAGGTATTGTATGTACTAGCTCTCTCTATAAATCCAACATTACGTTTGTAACTCATCTCAATGTTTGTACTTTTACCTGAATAAACATTTGAATTTGAACTAACAGTGACCAGTGTAACATTAACAGTGAGCAGTGTAACATTAACATTGACCAGTGTAACACAAACAGTGACTAAAATAAAAGGTGCCGCTAAGACACTGCCTCTCACTGACCTAAGCTAAAATAATTGGTGTAAGAAGACGACCTCTTACCGAGGCCTACATCCATGGTGGGAACCTTCCCGTCTGATCTCTTGGAGGGCAGGCTGTGGCGAGGGCTGCTAGGCAGGCTGTGGCGAGGGCTGCTAGGCAGGCTGTGGCGAGGGGCGGCAGAGAGGTGGTCGTCACCAGGGTCGTCCAGGGATTCAGATTGGTCTCCCATCAGCCCCTGCAGCCAGCGGACCATCCGGGAGGTGTCGCTGGAGATGGAGGCGTCGTGGGCGGCCGGCGCTGTGAAGGACCTCTCCCGTCTAGTCGGGTCCAGGGGTTCTGATGTGTGGATCAAGTTCAAGTAAGTTTATAGAGAAAAGGAAGCACATCTCTAAAGGATAGATTAGCTTAGGCCATTTGTACCCTCGCCTATATAAGGTCCCTCAAGGGGCTCACAAACCCATACAGTACACAATTATTAATCATATTCTACATCTCACATTCCAATGGTAATCACATGACATACTGTGAGACCTCTTATTGATGATGCTGCCCCTGTCATGTCTTGTAAAGACAGGCTAAACAAGCTGGAGAAGGTACAAAATGAAGTCATGAGAATAATTCCAAGATTATTTTCATGGATCCTAGGGGTCTCGTAGCCTGGTGGATAGCGCGCAGGACTCGTAATTCTGTGGCGCGGGTTCGATTCCCGCACGAGGCAGAAACAAATGGGCAAAGTTTCTTTCACCCTGAATGCCCCTGTTACCTAGCAGTAAATAGGTACCTGGGAGTTAGTCAGCTGTCACGGGCTGCTTCCTGGGGGTGGAGGCCTGGTCGAGGACCGGGCCGCGGGGACACTAAAGCCCCGAAATCATCTCAAGATAACCTCTCAAGGGGTGGAGGCCTGGTCGAGGACCGGGCCGCGGGGACACTAAAGCCCCGAAATCATCTCAAGATAACCTCTCAAGATGGCCCAAGGAAAACTATTATTGAGATAATGATATGATTGAACATACAGAGTATTGGAGATATAATTTCTGAGATAAATGAAGCTTCGACAATTAGAATAAGGAAGGGCAAGGGGGCTAATTAATTAATCCTCTAACTTCAAAAGGTGAGAAGAAATGAATAATACGTGTGAAAGCATAATAAGATCCTTATGTTCTAATGTGATCTCCAATAATATGATGCATGATGTCCTTCAAGAATGTATTTCATTGCCAAAAAAGCAGTTAACACTAGCAAGAGAGGAATACAGAGAAGATGCAGCAATTTTTCCCATATGATCCCAGGCACTTAGATACGCTGTGCTTTGCCAATTCATTGACAATCGACACTGCCTTATCCACAGCCCTCCCCACATTTTATGTCATTGAGAAGCAATAGCCGTGAGCTGTGCAGAATTATCCACACCATGCACAAACAGACAAGAAATATACTGGATTTGCAACAATGACAGGTTAATGTTGGAAAACATAACCACACTGATGAATGTCATACCTGAGACACACAGATTAACATTCACAGAAAAGCTACCAGCGATACATGAGTATTGTGAGGAAAAACAACACTGGATAATGACCAGAACTCAGGAACTGGCAGTTTAAAGAGCCACAGCAGTAGTGTGGAGGGAGAGTGTATCGTGGTACATAACACCAGCAATATTACAGAGCCAGAAAATATTAACAATGAGAGCAACAGTGGGAAAGAATGCATAAACGAAGGAATTAGGACAAGATGGGTTCCAATAAAGAGGTGGCCAAGACAAGCACAGGTATAAATAACCGGAAAAAAATAAAAAAATAAAAATAATTTCAAATTCTATGCAGAAGGAATATGCAAATATGGGCAAAAAAGGAGCAAAATGCACGGTTATCACCAGAAATAAATATATCTCTGATATCCCCAGAGTCAGGCTAAATCTGTGCAAACACACCATGCAAATAAAATGGCCCAGTCTTTGGAACTCACTCCCTGATGAATTAAAAAATGTTCCAACCTATACCTTGTTCAAAAGTAAAATAAAAAAGCACCTAATTACATCCTCATAGTTTCCTACCTTGTGCTTCAAACTCACACTCTTCTGCTACTACCCACTTCCCCAATATTAGTAATTAAGACTAATTAATTATTTCACCTCTACCAGTGTAATCACCTCTGTCAATTTTTATTGTTTATATAAGACCTTGCTACAATGTACTTTTTCACCTTATCTGATATGTTAAATTAAGGACCTGCCCGAAACGCTATGAGTGTTAGTGGCTTTGCAAGAATGTAAAAATGTCACTCAAATGTACTCTCACCAACCCATTGTACCTTCTTGTAAATAAAATATTATTATTATTATTATTATTATTATTATTATGAAAGTTTAGTTTAGTTCATTTATTATGCACCCCATACCCATCTTGTGGGCGGTAGTGGAAAGGGTTACAGAGGCACATAATGGGCTCAGGGACTGAACCCCACAATTCATTTAGCTAAGCAAGTTACAATCTTGATGAGCTAGTTACAAAATTTAATATAAGTCATCACATCAACAATGGGTTCGAGATCGACCTCAAGTACAGGTTCTAAATTAAGCAACTGACATATGTGGAGAGTTAGTGTCAAAATTTATATGTTTGTCCTGCACACCGCCCCCCATCCAGTGGGCAGCGGTGGATAGGTTACAATCTCTTAGTTACTACCTACAGTTAGCAAACTGGGGATATTTGGCTAAAATTTCTGGTAGCAGATCATTTTGAATGAAATATTGACACATCGCTGGAACATTGGTTATAGAATTGTCGCTAAATTCACGTATCTTTTCGCACTCCATCACATAGTGACGGAGGGTGTGCGAATAATTTTGTTGACACAATAGACGGGAAGACTTATATGATATTACTGAATTTCTTTTAGAGGCAGAAACAGTAGAACATATAAGGGAGAGGAACAGGCAGATAGAACCACTGCAGGATTACAGAGGGGGACGGAGATATTCACTAGACTGGAATACGTGGTCATCATCAACAAGCACACAGGTACTACACCACACTACTACCAAAACTGGACGAAACACTACCAAAACAGTCCCCCCCCCCACCATTGGATGATGGTGGAGATGGGAGAGAACTACCAAATCCCACCAGAAGTGACACACAATATAGGAAATCATACAATATAGAGATACAAAATAAAATCCTTGATAACTTAGCAAACCCAGTACCAGATATTATCTTCCTTGGAGACTTCAATCAACCCAATTTAAAACGGAGAATAGTAAACAATAACATTATAGCAGGAAATCAACCTAGAAATAACCAACCGCAGGTCAGAGAACTACTGAGATTCTGTGACAAATTATTGCTCAATCAGTAGAGTACAGAACCAACTAGGAACGAAAACACGCTGGACCTGATATTTACAAACAATAATAAGCTAATCAGAGACATTACAATCTCAGATACTACATACTCAGACCACAAGCTCATTGAAGTGCAAACTAACATTAATAACGGTAGTAGGCCCAAGAACAACAACAAGCGAGAAGGGTTATTCAATCAATTAAATTTCAACAATAAGAGGATCGACTAGGAAAAACAAATATAGACCTCGCAAACATTCAATGGGAAACGGTTTTAAGCGACAAATCGTTATTATAAGTATTACCTAAACAGGAGGATGGGCTGCAATATTACTACATTTATATTTAAAGAATCTCAATAAAATATTTACCATTAAATAATAGTTACAACAATCATTATTCTTCATAAGTTAAGCTAGGCTAATAATTGATTATGAATGCCAATTGAACCAATAGAAAACCATGTAAATATCTGCATGTAATTAATATATATAATTATTATGTGTCTTATAAATACAAATAAACAAAAGGAAAAATAAACATTGCGGAAGATAAAGATGCAGCCATCTCTTGTTACACTTTGAACTCTCACTTTAGTTTTATTTAAAAACTGTTAAATGTTTAAATTAATTAATGTAGATTAATGTTGATCTTTGATGGTATTTCTAACATGGGGGTTAGAAATACTAGTGCTCGGACGAGTTCTTTTTCCAAGTTTCTGAAAGATAACGGATTATATGCCAGTAGTTATTGTGCTGCCGTGTGGCTCTCATGTATGATATCGAGTTACGCCCACTCCTTTGTCTTTTTTCAGAACTGGGAAGTTGCATTACTTTCATCCTGTATTGTAGTTGAGGCTTCCCTGTTTCAACTCCTATCCTCATATCTTTAATTTTTCAGGGACAAAGTCTAGTATCCGTTTCTCAGATTATTTTTGGAGACTGTCCAGTTTGTCTTATAATGTACTGCAGTCCTCCTCATTTCTGATTTAGTTTCATGAGCTGAGCATCGTTAGCAAACATTGATAAGAATGAGCTTACTTCCTATGTTAAATTGTTTAACATGACTGCCGTGTTCCTGAAAGCCTCTCTTTCACCCACTTTAGTACACTCCCTGATATACCAGCCTGTTCTTAGTGGGCCAGCCAGAGGTTTAGGGCCGGACAGAAATATCCCTGAACAAAAACATACTATATTCTAGTTTGCATAGGAATCGCATGTGGGTAACAGTGTCAAAATCTTTCTGGCAGTCAATAAAAATGCAGTCTATGCAGCACTCTCTCCCCTGTTCGATGGGAAGAGTGAGAGAGAGAGAGAACTGGATGGACACAACTCTATTTTTTAAAGTTGTATGTCTATCCAACTTTAATAAGTTGGTCAAGCGGGACTTCCATTGTTGAATCCATGTTGATGCTTGGAAACAAAATTAATAAGTTCTAAGTGTTCTTCTGGTCTCCTTCTAGTAAGTCTTTTTAATATCTTACAAGGAATATTTGCTAGCGATGCGGGCCTGAAGTTCAGTGGTTTCTGTCATTCTACTTTTTTGTGAAGGTGCTACATTAGCCACAACAAGCCCCTGCAGTTGTTACCATACTGCCTGTGGTGTCACTTCCATCTCCACCAGCCTTCTTCTGGTAGTGCCTGATTTAATAAAAATCTTAGACCTACTTTCATCTTATCAACTTCCTAGAAGTTTTTATCGAGTTCATCGCACGCATTCTTGTCATTCTTTGTGTACCCTCCTTCTCTTTTGTGTAGCTGGGATGGGTGAGCGAGACAGTTTACCGCTCTTGAGCCGATGGAGGTATGGTATATTCACGGTGACTGGCTTCGTCTAAAATTTGTGTGGTTATTTTTCCCTGTACACCTAGCAGTAAATATGTACACAACAGTGTACTTATTTACAACTAGGTTAGCAGAGACATCAGATGGAAGGAATCGCGTACAAACGCTTCTGAACTATCGTTGTAATGGACCCCGGGACTTTTCCCTGTGACCCGAGTGAGTAGATCACTGTGGCTCTAAACGTTAGTTCTTAATGCTCATGCTTTGGTGCGGTGCGTCGTGCGTCGTGACGTAATGTGAAGAAAGAGGTGGAAGTGAGCCCCGGCCGCAGTTGCGAGGCTTCCATCCCTACACATGTGCACTCACCAGTGTACTGAAGGACCAGAGCTGCACACCCAGGCAGGCATGGCGGCTCCACAACATACCTGAGAGGAGGGGCAGGACGAGGGAGGCACCATAACTGATGAGAGGCAGCAACACCAACACCTTCACCACCATGCCACACCAGCACTGCTCCCCTCACGCCCGGCTTCCCTCAAGCAATGCTGGATTCTCACAGGCAGGTGATGGGCGTAGGCCACTTCACGGGTTCGTCGGACTGGTATTGTGTGCGTGGGATAGAGTTGTGTGCGTGGGATAGATGATGTGGGCGTGGGAAAGGTGTTGAAGGCGTGGGAGAGGTGTGGCAGGCGTGGAACAGATACTGGTGGCGGTTAGCAGCTCGAGCCTTAGTGAGGCTCCCTCAGATACTCTCTCTCTTATGTACATGGCGTCTCCCTCCACCTTCCTCCTGCCCACTCACGTCTCACGGTACTTGTTCTGTGTGTCTGCAAATATATTTACATATATTTACAAATAAGGAAATAGAGTTAATAGTGACACTATCCAACGATCGTTCACAGTTGACAAATCTTAAAGAATATTACAATACTGACAAAATTATCTTAATCCCTTCTGGGCAGGTGAGATGACGTCATCAGAAAGGCGTGCAATGATTGGCTGATCTAGTCTGATGGGCGGGTCTGGACACTGGTAAACAACCTACGTCACAGCTTTAATTAAATCTTCAGTCTCCAGCAATGTCGATCTGGACGACGCTAAAACATTATTCACTTGTCAACTTCTGAGGCGTATGCCCGAAACGCTATGCGCGCTAGTTAGTGGCTGCACATGAATGTAAGAACTCTTGTATAAATAAATAAATACAAATTTAGGCTGTGAATAAAATATAGAAAATAGAAGGATATAAAGCCAACTTTCTTTCCATTTGGTCACCATTATAAGGGCACAGACATTATAGTTATCCCGTGTCCTCTCGCGTGTCGGGACATCAACACTAGCAATGTCCTATAATGCGTCTTTGGAAACAAACATTTGAATTGTCCCGTGTCCTTTGAAGTCTGTTGGGACACCGATATTATAACTGTCATGTGTCCTCTGACGTATGATGGAACACAGATAATAACTGCCATTTCCTGTAAGGATTGTTGTGACACCAACATTATGGCTCGTCATATGTCATCACCTGTGTGTGGACACCGACGGTATAAGTCGTGTGTCCTCTCGTGTGTTGGGACACCATAACACTTGTGATGTTATGTGATGAAACTTATTAAATTACCTTTTTAACTGAATTGACAGGGGTGGACAAAGACAATAGACTTTTCTAGGTTTGTTTGCTTATTTAATAATAATAATAATAATAATAATAATAATAATAATAATAATAATTTATTTACAAAAAGGTACAAGGGGTTGGTGGGATTACATTAGAGTGATTTTTTACGTTTTTGCAAAGCCACTAACACGCATAGCGTTTCGGGCAGGTCCTTAATCTAACAAAGCAGGTAAGGTGAAAAAGTGCATAGTAGCAAAGCTTTATATAAACAATATATATTGACAGAGCTGCACGGGAGACATCTCCCGTCCACGAGGCTTACCATAGCCCGTGCTTCTTGCCCCGCTCCTGTGCCAGGTAAGTTACGGGCTCACCATAGCCCGTGCTACTTGGATCTTGTTCCAAGTAGCTGAATCTCTAACAACAACAAACGACAGAGCTGCAAGTTACAGTTTAACAACAAGTTACAGCCCCGCTCCTGTGCCAGGTAAGTCCACAACGGGCTCGCCATAGCCCGTGCTACTTGGAACTTTTTGTTCCCCAGTAGCTGAATCTTAAACAATAACAAAACAGAGCTGACAGAGCGGGGGTTGACAGCCCTGCTCCTGTGCCAGGTAAGTCCACTACGGGCTCATCACAGCTGAAGGGAGCTGAACCTCACAACCCTGGAAAACAGAAGAGTAAGGGGAGACATGATAACCACCTACAAAATTCTCAGGGGAATTGACAGGGGTGGACAAAGACAAACTCTTCAGCACGGGTGGGACACGAACAAGGGGACACAGGTGGAAACTTAGTACCCATATGAGCCACAGAGACATTAGAAAGATTTTTTTCAGTGTCAGAGTGGTTAACAAATGGAGTGCATTAAGTAGTGTTGTGGTGGAGGCTGACTCCATACACAATTTCAAATGTAGATATGACAGAGCCCAATAGGCTCAGGAATCTGTACACCAGTTGATTGACGGTTGAGAAGCGGGACCAAAGAGCCAGAGCTCAACCCCCGCAAACAAAACTAGGTGAGTACAGCCTGTGTTACTTGGAACGTTTTGTTCCGAGTAGCTGAATCTAAAACAACAACAACGAGAGAGCTGATTACACTGGTAGAGATGAAATGCTTAATTAGTCTTAAGTACTAATATTGAGGAAGTAGGTAGTACAAGAACAGTGTGAATTTGAAGCACAAGATACGAAACTATGAGGATGTAATTAGGTATTTATGTGCCATTATGTGCTCTCCTGGGGAAGAGCACATAATGGGGGCCATGAGAGTAGGGGCACATAATATCTGATTTTAGAAAATATACCGACCATTTTTTAGACTTTTTTTTACCAATATGTTGTATGTGGGTGCTGAAATTCAATCTCTTGCCTATGTATAGGCCAAGAAAATTCCCTTCAAATTTCTACCAAATAAAATGTAGGTCTTGTCTATGTTTAGTGTGAGTTTGTTGGTCGACATCCACGAGTGGACTTTTTTTTTAATTCATTGACAATATGAATAATCCACACACTGACTGTGTGGGTTAGGGTCAGAATAGATGTAGGTAGTATCGTCAGCAAATAGAATGGAAATAGCAAATAGAAATAGAATAGATTTAAGAATGTTAGAAACATTTGCCAAGTCATTGATGTGTATAAGAAATAAGAGAGGTCCCAAGATGCTGCCCTATGGCACCCCTATTGTCAATGGTAGAGTAGTGGAGGCTTTGCTATTGATGGTTACATATTGGTGTCTCATTGGGATAGGAATGAATATAGTCCAGAGCAAGGCCTTGGATACCATAGTAGTGAAGTTTAAGTAAGAGGTAGTTATGGTTTACAGTATCAAAGGCCTTTCTCAGGTCAATGAGGAGGCAAATTGGGAACTCGATTTTGCCAAGGGCTGTGTAGAGTATATTAAGCAGACTAATAATGGCATCAGTGGTACTCTTTTGGGAACGGAAGCCAAACTGGCAGGGACTTGAGTTGAGTTTTGATATGTTGAATTTTACAAAGTAGGAATAGAGCTGTTTGTAAATAATTTATTCAAATATTTTTGAAAGTATAGATATATTTGTTATTGGTCTGTAATTGTTTATGTCAGCCGTCTCACCTCCTTTATGAACTGGCGTCACTCGTGCTTTTTTAAGGATATCAGGGAAGATATGACAGTCTAGAGATTTGTTGAATAGTAGAGCTATGGGTGGTGCAGGAACAGGGGCAGTACTCTTATATATCATAGATGGTCATTAATGCTCCCAGCTTTGGCTTTAAGTGATTGAATTATTTATATAATGTCTGTCGGGCTTACTGGTAAAAGTAGTAGAGATTCATGTGCATAATTAATATGCATAACTCCATAGTGGGGGGATTATGTTGTTGTAATATTTATTAAATTTATAATTAGTTCAATCATTGTTTATTTATAGATTTAACTAAAACTCAAACGTAAACATTTGATCAATTAAATTAACAAAAACATTAATTTAATAAATACTCAATTCTGTTCTATTGCAATATAAACTAACACTACAACCCACCAACTGTGGTTTTATCTGGAATTATTGCTATAAAACACAGCCTATTAACTAAAATTAAATATAGAGTCCACTATTGAAGGTAAATTAGAATAAATTAACTCCAACACATAATAGTAACAAGGTTGCTGATTTGTGGAATCAATTGCAACGAAACATAATAGAAGTAGGATCCCTTGTTTGTTTCAAGCGTAGGTTAGACATATAGATGAATGAGTTTGGATGGATATAAATAGGAACTGCCTTATATGGGCCAATAGGCCTTCTGCAGTTCTCTTCATTCTTGTTCTTATAATCCCACAACAGCAGCAGCAGCAGCAGCAGCCTCAGCTGTAGAAACAGGTCGTCCTGTAGTCTGTGATAGACAGAGACTACAGGACGACCTGGAGGAATGGTCTAGAAAATGGCTACTAAATTACTCATTACTCATTACTCATTACAAATTACTCAAATGGCTACTAAATGGCGAATTACTCATTATTGCTAACTAAGATAATTAGACGAGCCAAAACTAATTACTACGAAGATAAATTTACTCAAATAAAGAGCAACATTAAACAAACTTGGAGCACAATTTCACAAATATTGGGATCAAAGAAATCTTTAAATAACAAACCGACTCTCCTGTCTAATAACGATGGTCAGCTTTCAGCCTCTGATTCTGCTATTGAGTTCAATAGGTTCTTCTCTTCCATTGGTTCATCCCTTGCAAATGATATTCCATCTTCCAGTACTGACATTAAGGACTATCTTACAGGTAACTATCCACAGTCTCTGTACCTAAAGCCTATTAATTCCACTGACGTCAATGAGATAATCCTTTCCCTTAAAACCAAGTCTGGTGCCCTTGAGGAGATACCAACTTTAATATACAAAAAAGCCTCCAGATCTTTAGCCCCTGCTATTGCTTTGCTCTTCAACAAGTCACTTGAACTCCAAACCTTTCCAGATATTCTAAAAAAAGCGAGAGTAACGCCTGTCCACAAATGTGGTGATCCCACAGATGTTAACAACTACAGACCTATATCAATCCTGCCAAACTTGTCAAAAATTTTTGAAAAACTTATATACAAGCAGCTTTACTCATATCTAGCCAAACTCAATATACTTAGCCCTTGCCAATATGGCTTCAGACCCAAAAAAAGCACTAACGATGCACTCATTAGTATGCTTAACTCGATTCATACAGCCCTTGATAAAAAGGAGCTCCCTGTTGGGTTATTTGTGGACCTGCGTAAAGCTTTTGATACTGTCAACCACCATAACCTTCTTCTTAAATTACATCATTATGGAGTCAGAGGGCACTCCCTACAATACCTCGAGTCCTACCTTACTGACAGGCTCCAATATGTTTCTGTGAATAATACAATTTCTCCCACCCTACCCATCAACATTGGTGTTCCTCAGGGCAGCATACTTGGCCCTCTCCTCTTTCTCATCTACATTAATGACCTTCCAAATGCCTCCCAACACCTCAAACCAATTCTATTTGCTGACGACACAACCTTCATTTACTCCAGTCCTGACCCTCTTGCTCTAAATGCCACAGTAAATACTGAGCTAAATAAAGTCCATCATTGGCTAACTGCCAACAAACTCACCCTTAACATTGACAAAACCTTCTATATTCTGTTTGGCAATAAATCCTCTAGTCTTATAAATCTCAAAATAAACAATACCCAAATTTGTAACAAATTAGATGGCAAATTCCTTGGCATTCTCATTGACAACAAGCTGAATTTCCAGGGACACATTCTAAATATATCAAAAAAAGTTTCAAAAACTGTGGGCATTCTTTCTAAGATCAGATATTATGTACCACGCCCTGCTCTAGTGACTCTCTATTACTCCCTTATCTATCCTTATCTCAACTATGGTATTTGTGCTTGGGGTTCTACTACCCAAAATCACTTACGTCCTCTAATTACCCAACACAAAGCCGCTATTAGAACAATATCCAACTCTGGCCCCAGACATCACTCGGTACCCCTACTCAAATCTCTTAATATGTTAGATATTAAGTCACTGCACATTCTCTCATGTGTATTATACATATATAAAACGCTAAACTATAATGCCAATCCTGATCTTAAAAGCTTCATAGAAGGTTGTAACAGAACCCATGAGCACCACACCAGAAATAAATACAGTTTTGATATTCCTAGAGTACGTCTTAATCAAACTAGAAATGCTCTGCAAATCAAGGGGCCCAGAATGTGGAATGACCTTCCCAACCATGTTAAAGACTGTCCCTCTCTCAACCAGTTTAAGATAAAAACTAAACACTACCTAATAAATTCCCTGTAATCTACCTCACTCCTCTATTGTCAACCCATGTCTGTTATTTTCTTTTTTTTTTCTTTTTTGTAATCAACACTGTTTGGCAACCTATTGTATTTGTGCTGCTTTTTCAGTCATGTTCCCCCTTTTTTTTTTATCTTTATTTGTATTTGTTCTCAACATCTTTTATTCTTTATGCTCAATTAGTAT